GATGATTTAGATTTTTAGATATCTGTATTAATCAATTAAAATAGGTTTTGATCCTGTGATCAATTTCAAACTTCTTGAATGGGCAGATTCAGCATCTTCTTGACATTGTTCATCAGGGTGAGGCACTTGTTCAAGAGCTCCAACAGCAAGTTAATAACCTCCTCGGAATCAGCATACCTCCTCCAAGAGCTCCAAGGGGATAATCAGAACCTTCAAGGCATAGTGGAAGAGCTCCAGGAAGAAATCCAACATCACGAAGACATGGTTGAAGACCTCCAAGGGGAAAATCAGTTTCTCGTTGCAAATAATCTGCATCTCGAAGGCCTCATTCCAGAGTACATAATGTGCGAGGACAAGTCCAGAACCTTCTTGCCTTCAATCAGGAGATGGAAGGTGTTACGCAAGATCTCCAAGGTCAGCTTCAAGCTGCACAACTTCAAGTTAGCTCAAGAAATTGAGCTTAAATAAATTCACCCAAATCGGGGACCTGCAGGCCGTTAATGGAGAACAAGCTGCAGAAATTCAGAGGCAAGCTGCCGAAATTCAGAGGGTAGGTACTTTTCATTTACAGTACGTGCTAGTAAGCTTCTTTCATTTACGTGCTACGTAAGCTTCTGTAAATTCACCTCAATCAATTTGCGCCACCATTGCCTCCACCATTGTTCAATAGGGGTCCCGAAACCTCTGAATTTCTGCAGCTTGCCTCTGAATTTCAGCAGCTTGTTGTCCATTAACCGTTTGCAGGTCCCCGATTTGGGTGAATTTATTTCTGTAGATGCTACTTAAGAATGAATGAAAAAGATGAACCAGAGCATGTACTTGTGATGTTGAGACAGTGCATTAGGCATAGAAACAAGAAGATATATGAGGAGGCATTCTTCTAATGTTTGATCAAGTAATCTGGTATGGAATTGAATCTAGAGAATTCAATCTAGCATCAACTTTCAATATTTTGTATGTTTGTGTCGAATTTAATTTTTTAGATACTGCAGAACATTATTTTTGTAGCTATGTTTTATAACAGGCTCAATTTAAGATAACAAATAAACATATAGCCTATTTCTGATTTCTTGCACTGGCTAACTGGTACTACAATGTGGAAACCAATATGATATTTTTGACATTATTAATAAGGTGGTACTTCCGATGCCAACAATAGGTGGGAAATAAGGGCCACCTTTAGGTCGTTTTGGTTGTTCTTGACTAAAAAACATTTTTAATGCGGTCTTATTTTATTTTTCATGCTGTTAAAACATTTCGTGAACAGTGGTCTAAAAATTAAACACCAAAATATATTGTTTATGACTCAAAATTATAACAGTAGCCAAAAATATTGTTTTTATTTTAGCAAAACATCGTTCCAAACAATATGAATGAGATTAATCATAATCACAAATTACAAATTGATTTTTAGTTAACCTATATTAACCCAGACCGAATGTACATTTAGCGGTGGCATTCTATTGTAATTAATTTCAAAGTAAAGGAAATAATAAATCCTACTTAATTATCATTACAGGGGGAAATAGTCTTGAACTTTTACTTTCATCAAATTAATTTAATTTAAGATGTGATATATCAAAATTGTGCGCTTTATATGTATATGATTATCAAACCAAGCTGTAAATGAGTCTATCTAGCTTGTAGATAAATTTAGATTAACGAAAAAATAATAATTTTTTGTTGCTAAATGGTATATGATTCCAAACTATCTATATATCTATATATAGTATATAATTTAAAAAAAAAAAAATCAAAACTTTAACCTTTGCAACAAGAGTACGTATAGAGTACTCCGGGATTTCGGAAAAATAGTATCCAACCAATGCTAATTCACTATTTTCGACAGTTAAGAGAAGGATGGAATTTTTATAACCGTTACCCACCTCGTATTAAATACTAATTATTTTGTTTTTCAAGTTTTAAGTGACCTCAACCTATTTTTATCAAATTTGTGAAATTATTAAAAAAAAAATCCCGATAAATAAAAATGTATATTTATATATATATTATTAGTAAGAAATCTCATTCCAAACAATATGAATGAGATTAATCATAATCACAAATTACAAATTGATTTTTAGTTAACCTATATTAACCCAGACCGAATGTACATTTAGCGGTGGCATTCTATTGTAATTAATTTCAAAATAAAGGAAATAATAAATCCTACTTAATTATCATTACAGGGGGAAATAGTCTTGAACTTTTACTTTCATCAAATTAATTTAATTTAAGATGTGATATATCAAAATTGTGCGCTTTATATGTATATGATTATCAAACCAAGCTGTAAATGAGTCTATCTAGCTTGTAGATAAATTTAGATTAACGAAAAAATAATAATTTTTTGTTGCTAAATGGTATATGATTCCAAACTATCTATATATCTATATATAGTATATAATTTTAAAAAAAAAAAATCAAAACTTTAACCTTTGCAACAAGAGTACGTATAGAGTACTCCGGGATTTCGGAAAAATAGTATCCAACCAATGCTAATTCACTATTTTCGACAGTTAAGAGAAGGATGGAATTTTTATAACCGTTACCCACCTCGTATTAAATACTAATTATTTTGTTTTTCAAGTTTTAAGTGACCTCAACCTATTTTTATCAAATTTGTGAAATTATTAAAAAAAAAATCCCGATAAATAAAAATGTATATTTATATATATATTATTAGTAAGAAATCTCATTCCAAACAATATGAATGAGATTAATCATAATCACAAATTACAAATTGATTTTTAGTTAACCTATATTAACCCAGACCGAATGTACATTTAGCGGTGGCATTCTATTGTAATTAATTTCAAAATAAAGGAAATAATAAATCCTACTTAATTATCATTACAGGGGGAAATAGTCTTGAACTTTTACTTTCATCAAATTAATTTAATTTAAGATGTGATATATCAAAATTGTGCGCTTTATATGTATATGATTATCAAACCAAGCTGTAAATGAGTCTATCTAGCTTGTAGATAAATTTAGATTAAGGAAAAAATAATAATTTTTTGTTGCTAAATGGTATATGATTCCAAACTATCTATATATCTATATATAGTATATAATTTTAAAAAAAAAAAATCAAAACTTTAACCTTTGCAACAAGAGTACGTATAGAGTACTCCGGGATTTCGGAAAAATAGTATCCAACCAATGCTAATTCACTATTTTCGACAGTTAAGAGAAGGATGGAATTTTTATAACCGTTACCCACCTCGTATTAAATACTAATTATTTTGTTTTTCAAGTTTTAAGTGACCTCAACCTATTTTTATCAAATTTGTGAAATTATTAAAAAAAAAATCCCGATAAATAAAAATGTATATTTATATATATATTATTAGTAAGAAATCTCATTCCAAACAATATGAATGAGATTAATCATAATCACAAATTACAAATTGATTTTTAGTTAACCTATATTAACCCAGACCGAATGTACATTTAGCGGTGGCATTCTATTGTAATTAATTTCAAAGTAAAGGAAATAATAAATCCTACTTAATTATCATTACAGGGGGAAATAGTCTTGAACTTTTACTTTCATCAAATTAATTTAATTTAAGATGTGATATATCAAAATTGTGCGCTTTATATGTATATGATTATCAAACCAAGCTGTAAATGAGTCTATCTAGCTTGTAGATAAATTTAGATTAACGAAAAAATAATAATTTTTTGTTGCTAAATGGTATATGATTCCAAACTATCTATATATCTATATATAGTATATAATTTTAAAAAAAAAAATCAAAACTTTAACCTTTGCAACAAGAGTACGTATAGAGTACTCCGGGATTTCGGAAAAATAGTATCCAACCAATGCTAATTCACTATTTTCGACAGTTAAGAGAAGGATGGAATTTTTATAACCGTTACCCACCTCGTATTAAATACTAATTATTTTGTTTTTCAAGTTTTAAGTGACCTCAACCTATTTTTATCAAATTTGTGAAATTATTAAAAAAAAAATCCCGATAAATAAAAATGTATATTTATATATATATTATTAGTAAGAAATCTCATTCCAAACAATATGAATGAGATTAATCATAATCACAAATTACAAATTGATTTTTAGTTAACCTATATTAACCCAGACCGAATGTACATTTAGCGGTGGCATTCTATTGTAATTAATTTCAAAATAAAGGAAATAATAAATCCTACTTAATTATCATTACAGGGGGAAATAGTCTTGAACTTTTACTTTCATCAAATTAATTTAATTTAAGATGTGATATATCAAAATTGTGCGCTTTATATGTATATGATTATCAAACCAAGCTGTAAATGAGTCTATCTAGCTTGTAGATAAATTTAGATTAACGAAAAAATAATAATTTTTTGTTGCTAAATGGTATATGATTCCAAACTATCTATATATCTATATATAGTATATAATTTTAAAAAAAAAAATCAAAACTTTAACCTTTGCAACAAGAGTACGTATAGAGTACTCCGGGATTTCGGAAAAATAGTATCCAACCAATGCTAATTCACTATTTTCGACAGTTAAGAGAAGGATGGAATTTTTATAACCGTTACCCACCTCGTATTAAATACTAATTATTTTGTTTTTCAAGTTTTAAGTGACCTCAACCTATTTTTATCAAATTTGTGAAATTATTAAAAAAAAAATCCCGATAAATAAAAATGTATATTTATATATATATTATTAGTAAGAAATCAATACACCTTTTCCTTAGTGGCTCACCTTGCGCGTTAGAAGGAGGGTTAAATAGGAAACAAAGTGTACAAGAGGAGCAAACAGGCTCAAAGGCCTACCAACCCAGAACAACGAGGCCCAAACAATTTGCTACCGACCCACAAAGCATAGTAGAAACAAATTCAAGCAGCAACAGCAAGACTTACAATTGTTCACGATCCGACTCACAACCTCTAGAGTTAATCCTAACCGTCCACATCAATTCAGAAAACACAACCAGCCAAATCTTCTACCGTTGGATAAAAGCACACGAATTGCCATTTTCAACCGTCCGATTCACTTTTACTCCCCACACCTGCATGCTGTATGTATCCATAAACCGTTGAGCGTTTCAAATTTTGCCGTGGTAGAGAAGAGAGAGAAAAGGCCAAGAGTTTTGATTTCTGTGGATTGAGAGGTAAAGTCTCTTTGAATCAAGAATTAGATTAGGGTTTCTATTTCTTGCTTCGATTGATTTCTATGTGATGAATTTTGTTTCTTGAGCTTCTTTTGAAATTCTAGAGTTAGGGTTTCGTTCTGATCTTGTATAAACTTTCCAAGGTAGCAAATTTGTCTGTTGTTTTTCGGTGGATAGTACTCGAATTGAAGTTAGGGTTTATGTTGTTTGATGGATCTGTTGAAATTTTCTCTCTTTATATAAGGTTTCAGTTTTATTCCATGATATATGTGAATATATTGATCATGATATATGTGAATATATTGATCGTTTGGTTCGTCTGATACAGAAATATAATTGAAGTTAGGGTTTTTATTTGTGATTGAATTGTTGTTCTGTGAAGATATGTGGCTAATTAGTTAGGTTTTTTCCGGATTGAAGTATAAATGGGTATGTTTTGGGTAATTTCTTGCTAATTATATGAATTTTACTCACATTTAGATGGCTCGTACCAAGCAAACTGCTCGTAAGTCAACTGGAGGAAAGGCTCCTAGGAAACAACTCGCCACAAAGGTCTGTATATGTGTGTATAAGCGTGTGTGCGTGTGTGTGTGTGTGTGTATATATATATTTGTTATAAGCGTTGGATCTGTGTTTGGTTTATATTTGTAATAAATTGGGTTGTTTCAGGCTGCTCGTAAGTCTGCCCCAACTACTGGAGGAGTTAAGAAGCCTCACAGATACCGTCCTGGTACTGTTGCCCTTCGGTAAGCCCATATGTGGAAGTGCTTTGGCTATAATGGCATGTTTTATTGTTTATGGGAAACTGAAGATAAATTTCAATTCCTTTATCCAAGAAAATGAAGATTTCTATTTTGTTTCCTTTGGAAAGTTTGTTGACTATAGTTGCATGTTAATTGTTCATTTGAATTTGAAGTTAAATTCCAATTCCTTTACCAGAAAAATAAAAAGCTATCTAATTTTTGTTTCTTTTGAGAGTGTTTTGTCTGTAATTGCTTGTTAAATCTGACATCATAATTGCTCATGCGAATTTGAAGATAAATTTCACTTTTCTTTTTCTTTTTCTTTTTTCATTATAAAAAAGGTTGTTTCTTTTGTAAGTGTTTTGGCTGTATTTGCATGTTAATTCGGTATCTGAATTCAAAGATTTCAATTTCCTTGTTGGAGAAAGAGAGATTTCTATTTTTCCCACCTTTTTTCTGTATCTGTTGTTTTGCTTAATTTTGATTTTGATATATATATGTGTTATGTTAATCAGTGAAATTCGCAAGTACCAGAAGAGTACTGAGCTGCTAATCAGGAAACTGCCATTCCAGAGGCTTGTTCGTGAAATTGCTCAGGACTTCAAGGTATGGCTTTTTATGTCAATCTTCCTGTTAAATGTAATTTCCTGTATTGTAAATTTGGTTGGGGTTTGTGGGTTTATGTCTGTCTTCTTGTTAAATGTAATGTTTGTTTCTGTATTGTAAATTTGGTTGGGGCTTGTGGGTTGTGATCTGTGCCTGATATGTATTTTTTGGTTGCAGACCGACCTGCGTTTCCAGAGCCATGCTGTGCTTGCATTGCAGGAGGCAGCTGAGGCATACCTTGTAGGTCTGTTTGAAGATACCAACCTGTGTGCTATCCATGCTAAGCGTGTTACCATCATGCCCAAGGACATTCAGTTGGCTAGGAGGATCAGGGGTGAGCGCGCTTAAATGTGGGGTGTCTGGAATGTGTTTTTGGTGGGTGTTTGTTCTTATTAGTTAAAAAGACTCTTGTGATATAGGACTAGCTCTGAAAACTAGACTAAATGGTGGTTCTGTTTTTGGTGGTGTGCAGTGTAATGGAGGAAGTGTTTGTTTTTGGGGAATGAAATACTACCTGGATTTATTACTATTTTTTCTTTTTCTGAAGCTATGTTTCCTTTGTCACACCATTGGTGTTGAACAATTTATATTTGAATTAATGTCTTAGGTTTGTTCAAACTGCTTCCCAACTCCTAAATCTTGGTTGGCTTGGGTTGCTAATTTGCTAATTTTTATATTTGAATTTATGTCTTAGGTTTGTATCCAACTTAATATTTTATTAAAGCTTTTATTTTGTTGCTAACTTCGGTTTCATGTAATAAATGTGATTATGCATGACGTATGATTCAAACTAATCAAATTCTTTTGTACAGTTATCATCTAAAAGTTTAAAATTTTCTATGTTTAGAACCGAACATCGTTAGGTCCCGAATTCTGTTTAGTTTTTTCATAGTTCGGAGGAATTTTTTATGGTTGGAACCCCCAAATAAAATTTTCTATGTTTAGTTTTTTCATAGTTCAGAGGAATTTTTTATGCTTGGAACTCCCAAATTGTTGATTTAAAATTAGAGTTTTATTATTTCTATTTTGAATTAGAGGAAATTTAATTTTAAATGTTTTGTAGTAAATTCCTCAAATGAAAAAACAGAGCCAAGGAATAAACAAATAGAAAAGGCCCATCATGCACAATCGAAAAACGTACCAGAATAAAAACCATGCCCTCAGCCCCGAGAATTTGTTCTATAGAAAATTTGATAATTTATTATTTCATAGGGTGATTATCATGGGGTGATTATCATGTTTTAAGTAATTGATTTGGGTAATCGATATTTGATTTGTCATGATTTGTTTTTATTAAGAAGGAAATTTTTGTGGTGTAAAATATACTTTTTTTGAAAAAATTATAATTTGGTTGCCAAATAAAAAGTACTTAATTATTTATAGGTCAAATAATTAATGCTCTCCTCTAAACTGTATAAATTAATTATGTGTTTTTAATGTTCTCTCTCCTTTTCCTTTTTTTTCTTTTTCGTTTTTGTTCTTCGGAAGTTAAAAAAGATGTACACTTAACACTTGTTTCTCTTTTCTCTTCCGATCTTTCCTCATCTTTCCCTTCTACCAAACATTTGAATTGAGAAAAAATGAGAATGGAAGGTTTTTCCATACGCTTGGCCCACACTATTTTTATTGAACCGGACTGTATTTTTGGCCCTTAAAAGTATGGGCTCAGCCCGCGTCTTCTGGAACTTTTTAGTAGGACTAGCCTGGTCTCTAATTGTTCTTTAGGTCTCGGTTGGGTTATTAACTTGTGTTTTTACTTTCTATTGTGTCCTAACATTTAAAAAGACAACTGGATTTATTGGGCTTTTCTTTCAAATTTTCACCATATTGTAAATAAAAACTATTTTTCCCTTTCAACTCTTAAATGGAACTTTAAAATAAAGAGCTATTTCCTTTTCTCCTTTTTTTTTTAATCATATATATATATATATATATATATATATATATATATATATATATATATATATTAGGTATTCTAAAATGTCCTTAATTGATAAAGTAAATTTTATTAAATGCTTATTCTTTAAAAAGTTGAACTTCAGATAATAATTATACCATCACACTTGTCAAGTTAGGCACAAATCACACTTATTAAGGCATTGCAAATTAGTCCAACCCACTAAGTTAGGCACAAATCATACTTATTAAACCATTGACATTTTCCAAGCACCAAACTACCAATGTCAACAAGTTCTGATGTAGACTTATTGTGCTGGATAAAATGACGAAAATGTATTTGATAAAAATTTAAATCGTATAAAATGAGAGTGAATGCAAAAAAGTGATACCCAATAAATAAATAAATAAATTGTGTGACTAAGTTGATCAGAACTCATAAGACCTCTCGAAAAAGAATATTAATAATACAATATATCATCAACTAATAACATCTTATTATAAACAAAACGAATTTACATGTGGGCAATGCCACATCATCAATAATTTAAGAGCATTAGAGTATTTTTACTATAAATATACCATAAATCAGTACTTTTGAAATCTCGCCAAAACACTGTTACATCTCGCCATGTGTTTGGGAACCTAAAATATATACTGAACCTAAATCAGTACTGAATTTTGAAATCTCGCTAATATATATATATATATATATATATATATATATATATATATATATATATATATATATATATATTGGTTGTAATTGCTTAAAGTGAAAATTATAGTTTTTGAAATCTTAAAAAAAAAAACAAAAAAAAAAAAAAAAAATTCAATGATATTTGTTAACATTATTATGTTTGGTAGCTCAAAATTGACAAAATAATAATAATAATAATAATTGAAATCATAGATTTTATGCTTTCAACACAATCACAACATAGAAATAATTCACTTATTCTATATCATAAACAAAAATTTATTGTTTAACAAATCAATCTTTTCCATATCTCCATAATTTCAATTTTTTTCCATACAAAGAAATAACTCATTTATTTTTTCCTTGATTATTAATTTATTTTTTCCACTAACAGTTTAAATCTTCTCTGAAATTGTCAATCTAGCAAACTAAACTTTTTTTCCAATTCCGACTTTCCAACATTCTAGAATGTCCAAACATGGTCTAAAATCTAAATCTAAATCTTCTCTCATCAATCTCTATGCTGCAAAGTGCCAAACAGTAGCTTCATTCTAGTGCAAACCCCGCCAACTTCGGACTTGTTCATAACCAGGAGGTAGCTCTCTCTGTCTCTCTCTCTCTCACACGCACACACACACACACACACACACTCTCTCTCTCTACAATTTCATCCTATATCTATATTTGAATGCTTTATGCTATTTTTGTATCATTTTTATCAGGAGGCAGGACTTATACAGAGCCAAATTCAACATGCTGCATTCCAAATCAAGGTACTCTCTCTCTCACACACACTCTCTCTCTCTCCAACATGTTCTATTCTCTGCTTTGTAGGGTTTTATTGGTTTACCACTTTTTCTGCTTAATCTCATTCATGGTTTTTCACACTTATTTTAGTGGATGATGTTTGGTTAATCCCTATAAGCCTAATATAACCAACAAAAACCCTAATATTACGTTATTTGGATTGAATTTGTGCTATTTTGGTGGTTTCTAGATCTGGGTATTTCGAATTTGGGCAAAAAAAACACACATCTCTTCTTTCTAGGACCATCTCTGCATCAAAAATTTGTAGAAGGGACACTCTGGTTTCACAAATTGACACCCAAGCTGTTAAACCTCTCCATAGAAAGCCCTCAAAGATCTCGAAATCGCCCGAGGTATCGTATTATTGATCCCATTTTCTATATTTTAAGTTCTGGTTTTGATGGATTTTGTGTGTGTTTGTGCTGTGTGTGTGTGTCGCGACAAATAACTCCCACAACGTTCTTGGGAAGACTTGAACTCTCTATCTTTCGTTTTTGAAAGAAGAGGAGATACCGTTAGGGCACAAGCCTTCCCACAATGTTCTTGGGGAGATTTAAAACCTCCATCTTTCGATTTTGAAAGAAGAGGAGATACGGTTTGGCCACAAGCCTTCCCATAACATTCTCGGGGAGATTTGAAACCTTATCTTTCATTTTTGAAAGAAGAGGAGATACCATTAGGCCACAAGGCCTTTGTGTTTTGAATGCAATGGATTTGATTGCACTAGATTTTGGTTTAATGTGATGATGGTGTTGTGTAATTTGATGCAGAATCAGATCGGAAGAGATTCTACAATGCAGATGCAAAGGGTTGATGTTGAGGAAGAGCTAAGGAGAACGAAGGAGCAATTGGGATTGGCAGAGGAAGGAAGAGACCGAGCACTCGATGAACTTCAAGGGATGAAGGTGTTGGCTCAAGAGGCCAACATGAGGCTAAGTGAGGCATTGTCTTCTCGAAAGGTGAGGGAGGTAACTTCGGAGCTTAATTCTGTGAAAGAATCGCTGTCTAATACAAAACAAGAATTGAAAATCAAAGAAACGAATTTAGAGTCCTTGAATCTTGAACTCGACAGGGCTAATAAACAGTTTGAGGTTAAATTGGCAGAGTGGGACTCGTCGTTAGATAGGGTGAATGAGGAATTGATTAATGTGAAACTCTCTGAGAGTCACGCCATGCGTTTATTGTCTGAAAGTAAGGAAAGGATTAAGGAACTCGAAGCTGAAATGGAGAGAAGAAAGCTATCGGAAGCCAAAATGCATGAGACAGTGGCCTCCCATACAAAACAGCTCAAGGAAAACAAAGTTGAACTCGAAGAATCCAAGATCGAAAATGTTTCTCTTTGTGAAAAGATGGAAAAGTTGAAGGTTTTGTCTAGGCAAAATAGTGGAGTTCTTGATGTATCTCAAAAGTATGACAACATTGATTCCATGAAAGAGGCGTTTGAAAGTCTCAAATCCGAACTCAAATTGGCAGAAGAGAAGCTGGCTTCTGCCCAAGAGGGTGAAAAAGTTGCCTTGTCGAAAGCCAAAAGCCTACTTGATGAGATGAACTCGCTTAAAAATGAACTGAAGTTGGCAATTGAGGCAGAAGAGAAGGGCAAGAAGGCCTTGGATGATCTCGCGTTAGCATTGAAAGAAGTCGCGACAGAATCCAACCGAACAAAGGAGAAACTAGGTGCAACTCGTGTGGAGCTAGAGCACGTAAAAGGGGAGGCAGAGCAATTGAAGACAATGGTGAGGAGTACTGAGGAAATGTATCAAAAGCTTTTGGACGAAACAAAGAAAGAAAGCGAGCTGAACAAAAACACGGTGGAGAGACTGAGATTAGAAGCAGAGGAGTCGCTTTTGGCATGGAATGACAAAGAAATGGGCTTTGTTAGTTGCATAAAAAGAGCTGAAGAAGAGAAGACTCATGCACAACAGGAGAACATTAGACTGACCGAGTCCCTAAAAGCATCCGAAAACATGACCAAGGCATCTAGGAAGGAAGTTCAAAAGATAAGGGATATACTGAAGCAGGCCATTAATGAAGCCAACATTGCCAAAGAAGCTGCTGGCATTGCTAGAGGCGAAAATTCGCAACTCAAGGATTATCTAGCCGACAAGAATCAGGCCTTGGATCTCCTAACTCAGGAAAACGAAAACCTTAGGATCAATGAGGCTGCAGCTCATGAAAGTATCAAGGAGTTGAAGCAATTGCTTTCTGCAGCATCAACAAAGGTGTCAAAGGCCAAGGACGAGGAGGAAGGATGGATATTCAAGTCCCCGAATTCAATGGCTAAGGAGCAGCAAGAGAACGAAAGAATCTACAAAACTATCAGTTTCGATCTTCACAATTTAAAACTCCAGAATAATCATGATGAAGATTCGGAATTGGAGATGGATTATGGTAACCCTGAAAAAGTTGAAGCACTCAAGGGTTCAATATTTGATACTGCAGATTCGCCGAAAATGGACCACAATACACGAAAATCATCAGGCCATCAGCGCAGAGGGTCTTCGTTCATGGATTATGGAGAAACAACAAATTCAGAAGATTTTGATCACCTAGATGGGACTCATTTTGATGATGCAGATGGTGATAAACACTCACAGAGGAAAAGGAAAGCACTGTTACGAAGATTCGGAGATCTTCTCGTGAGGAAAAGTATTCATAAAAAAGAACCACTATCCCTTGAATAAGCAGTGTTACCAAAATTTTCCTATATATAACTTCTCCGCATGCAGAGCTAAGACTTCGTATATTTGACTTTTCCAGCTCGTGCTCTTTTTTACAGTCTTTTAGTTAAAAGTAGAACTAGTTTTTTTTTAAACACCCTGTATGTTACTGTTGAGAAATTTCTCCTTTTAATTGAAGTGATGTACAGTTTATAACAAAAAATACTGGTATGAAATAGTTTTCAAGATTCTTAGTATGAAGAATGCGAAAAATATAAGAAAAATTGATCTAAAGTGTCATGTTAGGGGGTCAAAATTCATCATTTATCATAAATATATATATACAAAAACGCGCGCGCGCGCACACACATATATATATTCACTCTTAGCTTGCTTTAGTTTTTAGGGTGCATCTCTGTTTAAATCACAAGAAACTTGATGGTACAATGATTTAAACCAAACCAATAGAGGTCCAGGTCTGTGGCACAACTCCAACAAAAGTGACATTATATTCTCTAACAAGCAAGCAAGAGTTGCGCATATGTTGAAAGAAAAATACATATTCTCACTGTTAGCTTAGGTTCTAAGATAAAAAAAATATTCTCTGGAAGGTTAAAAGGGTCAAGTAGCTATTTTCACAACACATGACAAAAAATAGAGAATATGATTGAAAATCCCTCCTCTTTTTTTTCTTTTCTTTTTTTTCCTTTTTTTTTTTTTTGGGTAAATAATTCATACACGCACATGAGCCAATTGAACCTCGATCACATTGATTATGTAATGCACAATTTTTCATTGCTTATGCAACATTTTTAAAAAAAAAAATTTGAAAGTTCAAATATTCGCAAACATCCACAATATGCGTCTCACAAATTTTGAACTTTTAATTTTCTCTTCGGAAAGAAAATATCACGTATCAATGATCATTCTCACAGATCTTGAACTCTTAACTTTCTCTTTGCATAGAAAATATCATATATCAATGATCATTTTCTTTATATTTATCGACTACATAACCAACCAATTTGACGGGAAAATTAGTGATTAAAATAAGTTCTAACGAGTCTTTGTTGAACTTTGTTGCATTACTCGTTTTATAAACATGGATCATAACTGTGATCCTTGTTGATGCTTTTGTGGCACGTATGTACATAAATTCTCTCTTCTTTTTTTTTTCCTTGGTCTTGCTTAAAAAATTAATAATAGCCAATAGAAAGTGGTCACGGCAAGCCAACTTTAAAGGACCAAAAAGGTGTAAAAAGTGCACAAATTGGCTCATGCCTTGTATTTATGTTTATAGCTTTATTTAATATCAATCCTAAAAGAAAAGCTTATCAAATAGTTAAAATATAAAAACTCAAAAACAAATAAGAATAAATAAATTTGCAACATGAACTCAATTGGGGGAAAAAAAAAAAAGAAAAATAAAACAAACCCTTCTAATCCCAACTGCTCTGTGACAATAGCAAAAAATCCAAGATAAAAACTAACCATAGCAAAAATAGTATTGCCACAAAATAATAAACATATATCTTCAAGAGAGAAGATAATACAATCAAACACAACAAACTAACAAACAGTGATTTGCCTTCTAAAACTATAACAGTAAACCCGAGAAGCAGCTCTTGGATTTTAAAAAGCAAAATTATTACAAAACCTAACTAACAACCATTAATCCTAAACAAACTTCATTGTTCACCTTCAGGCTTGGGTGCTTCTTTGATCTGCTCCGCATTGTCATCCTGAATCAAAAACAAGCAACAGCAGATTCAAATATTAAAACTACCCCAGAGAGAGACAACACAATTGGTACACCACCATTTCTTTGAAAATCCCATTCAAGTGGAAACTTGCTCGAATTTCCACTTGAATTCGAAGTTGTTCCAATTTATTGATTGGCATTAACCCTATATCCCTGCCCCCGAGCAAAAAAATAAACACAATCACCTGCATGTCTGAAGTCCACAAAGTGAGATTATCGCGAAGAAGCTGCATTATCAATGTGCTGTCCTTGTAGGACTCCTCCCCTAAGGTATCCAACTCTGCAATCGCTTCATCAAAAGCCTTTGCATAACAGAAAAAAACATATAAAAAAAACAGTGAGAAACACATGAATCCAGAATAGCAAACATGAACCCATTGTAAGATTAAACACTAAAGCATTTTACATTTATGCAAATTGCAGGTATTTCCTACTGATTCTAAGGAATTGTAAGATTAAACAATATTCAACATATATGCATATTGCAGGTATTTCCTACTGATTCTAAGGAATTGTAAGATTAAACAACGAGACATTCTACACATATGCAAATTGCAGGTGTTTCCCACTGATTCTAAGAGAACCACTATGAACATCCTAGCATTTGCGATAACCCGAGATTAGGATAATAAACCCAGCCCAATTTTCTGAATGTGGTGGTAACAAGGCATTCTACATATATGCAAATTGCCAGTAAGAAATATATGAATCCAGTATATCAGACAGGAACTCTTTGTAAGGTTAAACAATAAGGCATTGCACAAATTATGCAATTGCGGGTATTTGCTACTGATTCTAAGAAAACCAATGTGAACATCCTAGCAACAGTGAGAACACGAGATTAGGATAATAAACCGAGCCCAATTTTCAGAATGTGTTAAGAAAATCTTAGGGGATGACCATACAAGATTCAGAGATCTCACCTGTTTTGCAAGATTACAAGCGCGATCAGGCGAATTCAAAATCTCGTAGTAGAACACGGAGAAGTTAAGAGCCAAGCCTAGACGGATTGGATGTGTTGGAGCTAGTTCTGCATTTGCAATATCCTGTGAAGACCACAATATATTTGATGTTAAATAATTAAAACAAATCTTAGTTCAACACTTTAATTACTGAATCTATGCAGAATTATTGTATTCCAAGTGTCCTGGCATAGAAAATAGTACAAACAAATAAAATTCACAAGCACACACACACAGATATACAATATTTTAATGTTGCAGAAAAACTTAAATCTGAGGGCATTTAACATCTAAATTTTTCATTTGCCAAATCAAACAAACAAAATATTAACCGATTGGTGATAATATATATACACATATATACATATATTTTTAAAATAACTAACAGTGGAATGGATATAAGCCCAAGACATCAATATCACAAATTCAACATTGCAATACATAATATAGCAATTGTATTTGGTTTCTGAGAGAGAGGGTGAAAATTAAAGGGAATAGAAGAATTTTTTGAGGCAAAGGTAGATTATGTTTACTTGACTTGATTTTCCTTTTTCTAATTTCTTCTTTTTGTGAGAATCTTTTCAGTTCCCCTCTGCGTTAAAAGCATGCAACTCAAAGTTTTAGTTTATGCTTACTTTTCCTATATTTTCTCAGCAACCAAACAGATAACACAGCTAAAATTCACTAAATCAAAACACTAACCTCAATGAAACTAATCCGAACTTACCTGAGCCGATTTATAAGCCGAGAGTGTATTCTCAGCTGCCTCCTTCCGTTCAGCTCCGGTCTTGAACTCAGCAAGGTACCGATGATAGTCACCTTTCATCTTCAGATAGAAAACCTTGGAGTCACCATTGGAAGCCGAAACGATGAGCTTCGAATCGAGCAATTTCAAAATGCCGTCACAGATCGACGAGAGCTCGGACTCGATCTTCGATCTGTAGTCTCGGATCGTCTTCACGTGGTCTTCGTTGCCTCGGCTCTCCTCCTTCTGCTCGATCGACGATACGATCCGCCAGGAGGCTCGGCGAGCGCCGATGATGTTCTTGTAGGCGACGGAGACGAGGTTGCGCTCCTCCACGGTGAGCTCGTCGCCGACACCGTCGACGGCGGCGACGACCTTCTCCATGAACTCAACCATCTCGTCGTAGCGCTCGGCTTGTTCGGCGAGTTTGGCCAGGTACACGTTCTCCTCGCGTGGGGAGGGAGAGGCGGATGCGGCCGCCATTGATGTGAGAGAGTTTTAGAGAGAGAAAGAAGGAATTTTAGAGAGAGAGAAAGAGAGGAGAAATCGGAAGATCCGGAGAGACGAAAAGAGCAATTATTGGACTCTCTCTGGTTCATTCATTCAATTTGATTTTTGGGCGAAAAGGTGGAGAGAGATGTTGAGAGTTGAGACCTATGGGTGCACCGTGGTTAGTGTTTTCAGTGAGCTATGGTTCACTTTTTCATTTAGGTTGCTTCGAAGTCTGAAATTCAGTTCGAATTCAAATCTTCTTGCCTCCGATCATTTGGACAAATTTGAAGGGTTAATATTTGATTGGATGAAAATAGTAGAAAAAGAAAAGAAATTGAATTTATTATTATTATTTAATAGTGGTTTAATTTTACCGACATCCTTCTAATTTGATCAAATATTATATTGAAACATTTTTTGAAAATTACTATCATTTAGATTCAATTTTATTTTTTTTTGTCATTAACACCATTAAAAACGTGCAAAAAGACAATTTTACTCTCATTTTTTTAATTCATTTTAAACAAAATATTAACAAATTTAAAAAGACAAAATTGCCCATTAGTTTCTCTCTAAAATATATGCATATACAGCTGTCCTTCAAACAAAGATGGCAAGCAGTAGCAAATCGGACGATAGTGGCGATGAGCAAACTACTCCGGTTAAGAATATCGACTACTCCAACGAAGACCAGCCACAATTCCGACAAGATTTTATCTGAAACAACCATTCCAACAGATAAACCCAAATCAATGTCGACACCGTCAGAACCATAGTCAACGGGGCCACTACCACCATCCCCAACCTGCACAGTCTGGTTTATATAAACTGTTACTGGGTTGAGATCACACATAGAAAAATATTTCCATTTATTCATCAAATTCCAAAATCTCTCTCTCAACCAACAACCACCACTGGGACCACCACCATCCCCACCCTACAACCAGCAGCAGCGCCGCCGCCACCATCCCTACTCCAAAACCACCACTACTATCATTCTTGTATCACACGTCTTTGTATTTAGGTATGTTTGTATACATATATAAATACACACACACACACCCAAATACAAAGCATTCTCAATTTCTCACCCCCACCTTGCAATCAATGACAATATAAATCTATAACTCATTCATACCCAGATTCTCTTTCTTTCTATACCATGGGAAGACGATGATCATCACCAAGGACCAGAAATTAGCTCACTCTCCCCTCATCCTGCAATCTAAGGATTCTAACCAGAACAATTCATTTGCCCCTCCTCGACTGACTCCACAACTACCAGACCCTCCTGCAACTCAATTTATATTTTTCCCCCAATTTTTGTCAAGAAATCCCTTCAAAATCTCAATTTCTCAAAATTTCGCTGACTCTATTTCTTCATCGATGGAGAAACAATTTCAAACGGCTACAATCTCTTCTCCAACGCCATCGCCATAATCGGACCTCAGGTATCAGATCCTTGACGGTGACGCCTTCAACTTCTTCTCTCCTCTCGATGATGTGCCTCTTCGTCTGATCTTCACAACCTCTCCTCTAGCCATAGTTATTGTCCTGAATTAAAGCATTTCCAAGAAAATGCAGGAAAAAAATAATTGATATATACATGTAATTGTGTCCATGTATGCGAATATTTACATACATATACAAAGAGTAAAGAAAATAGATTCAAAAAAATAAAAAACCAGAAAAAGAAAATGATATACAGGTAATTGTGTCTATATATGTGAATATTTACATATATATATATACAAACACACACACACACACGGTATAGAAAATAGATCAAAGAATTAACAATCTTTGCATGAAATAACTTGAAAATTATAAAATTTCCCTAAAACAAAAAAAGAATTCGACAATCAGATCTATAATCTTTAGATTGATGATATAGAAATATCAGATACAGTAATCAAATAGCTAAACAAATAGTTTTAAAAAAAGGATATTTTTCTTACTATAACCTTTTTTTTTATATATATTCATATAATATATGTATGTATGTATATATATACAATTGTACATTTATAAAGTATCTAGGGATGATTTAGTCTTTTAATCTATTTTTTTTAAGGTTAAATAGCTTTTGACAAAGTCAAAGGGAATTTAAGTCATTTTAAATGGTGTCAAAGCTCTGTATGTAACGGTTGGGGTGTGAGTGAAAGACGGAATAAACATTTGCAATATGAGTGGTAGTAATTTTCGAAAGATGTTTCAAGCTGATATTTGGTCAAACTTGAAGGGGTGTTAGTGAAATTAACCCTTTAACATTTTAAGAGTTTGAATTGTAAGAAAAGAAAAGTTTGTAAAATGATAAAGGCATATTTGGTATAGTTTTTAAGAAAACAATTATTTAAAAGTAAAATTTCAAAAACTTTAAATAAAAAGATAAAATGAAAATTTGTTTCAAAAAACTAAATGACCACATATTTTTTCATGTAAATTTAAAGTAGTGTTCTTACCAATTAGGTTATCTAGGAATAATATTCGGTATGTGTAATACCCCTCAGATCCGAGATACGGGTTGATTAGGCCTAGGCCCAAACCCGAGAGAATATCTAACACTTAATATTTAATGGGAACACAGAATACAAATTAAAAGAAAAAGAAATAAATAATAACTGGCTGAAATGAATTCTAATGAAAAATCCCCAAAAATATAATTATTAAAATCCAAACTCTAAAATCTCCAATTAATTAACAACTCGGGAATCCATCTGGTGGACCCCTAATAAAAATCCCAATTGTAAAATGAAATAACTGAAGTACGATCCAAAGCTAATAAGTAAGCAGTCCTACGTAGTCGGTGGAATAGAAGTCTGTATCTGCTCTGCACAACCAAGTTCTAACCCTGGAACTGACGAGCACCTGAAAAATAAAAGAGTGGGTCAGGCCCACGAACAAGTTCTAATCTAACTGCAATCCATACAGTGACCTGATACATACACCATAGATATCCTCACAATAGATATCTAGTCCATACGTATATATACATATCCACACTAAGGACATTCATTGGACTATAATAGGGGTCTCAACTTGAATAGAAGGCAACATGCGAAAATGCACCCAAAGGTGGGCATGAGTACCTAGACCTAATATGTAACGATCCACTCCACCACATGGTATGATATTGTCCGCTTTGGGCCTGAGCCCGCACGGTTTTGCTCTTGGGCTTCACCCCAAAAGGCCTCATACCAATTGGAGGTGACACACTTACATATAAGTACTTCACCTTTCCTCTACCCAGGCGATGTGGGACTGTGCACCCGTAGTGCACCCGTAGCTCGCCAGTGTGGTAGCCTGACAGTGTCTCTCGCACCCGCCCACGGCACACCCGCCCACAGGGTCATCACAATCCACCCCCCTTGGAGGCCCGACGTCCCCGTCGGCACACTTCCGGCTGGGTCAGGCTCTGATACCATTTGTAACGACCCACTCCACCATATGGTATGATATTGTCCGCTTTGGCAACTTGCGCGTGGGGGCGCGTGCAGCAAGTGAAGGTGCTTGGGGCGGCGCGTGAGGGCGCGTGGGGATGCGTGTGATGTTCCGGAAGGTTCCAGTGGGGTCCGGTAATGTTCCAGGATTGATTTCAAGCTGGTTAATTTTGAAATTAATCATTAGATGATGTATTTTAGATGTTTGAGGGTTGTCGGATGCTACTACGCTATTTAATTGCATCTATTTGGCGTGATTATAATTAATTAATAATTTGGTTGGATATATTTGTTATATATATGTTTGAGGGTGTACATATATATTTGATATATATATGTAACGTATGGATTAATTAATATATGATTATATATACACACACACACACACACACATATATATATATATATTATTTAAGAGTATCTGGATTGATTGATTACTAAATTAATGTTATGCGTGTAAGATGCATAAGATATCTACGTATGAATTAACTTCTTGTTACGTTTAAGGTTGGTACATGGTTGAATTGTACGCATGGATGAGTTGCCAAAGGCTTCAATATACTACCTTATTAAATATGAATAAATTTTCATATATGGGAAGCATGGTTGAGTTGCTAAGTAATGGTGTAAGTCAATATACTTAAGAAAGCATGGTTGAATTGCTAGTATATATAAATAGATATATTTATAAATGGCATGGTTGATTTGTCAGTGCATAATTAAACTGTTATGTGCTTAGATGACTAAACTTTCATCTAAGGTTAATGTTTGGCATAGTTAAACTGTTATGTGCTTAGATGACTAAACTTTCATTGACTGTTAGTATATTACACCACTAGGTGTTTAAGTAATTTACACAATTGTGAGCATGTTATTATAGATATTTACATATTAGATATCTTACATGGCAAATAGTGGAATAAGGGAAAATGAAAATTTGGGACAAATAATCGAAATTTCATTTCATGGATTCGTGAATTCCGAGGACGAAATTCCTTTTGTTAGGGGGGAAGAATGTGATACCCCTCGGATCTGAGACACGGGTTGATCAGGCCCAGGCCCAAACCCGAGGGAGTATCAAACAATTAATATTTTATAGCGAACACAGAATACAAAATGAATTAAGAAATGAAAGTTTAAAGCTGGAAAGAAACTAAAAGATAATCCTTAAATAATTAAATACTTAAATTTGATAAACCAAATATCCATAATTTGAACAACTCGGGAATCCATCTCTAGTGGACCCCTAATAAAAGTCTTACACTAAATGAAAGTAAAATAAAAGATAAAACCCAAATCCAAGATCTGGAAAGAACCCTACATCTTCGGTAGAATGGAAGATCGTCTCTGCTCAGCACGAACAAGCTCAAGCCTGGAACTGACGTACACCTGAAAAAAATAGGAGTGGGTCAGGCCCACGAACAAGTTCTAACCTACTACAATCCAAGCAGAGACTCGATACGCATGTACATACTAAATAGTTCAACAATAACTAATAATCCGTACATAAATATATCCACACTACTGGACTCTCGCTAGGCCATGAAGGGGGTCTCAACCTGGATAGAAGGCATCACACAATACGCACCTGAGTGGGTATGAGTACCTAAACCTAAACAGGGTATACCTCAACCTTCACAGTCAGCTACACATCCAACTGCATATACGCACCCTAACCGTCGACACTGAGACTCAAGCTCATGACACGGTAACATAAAAATATATCTAAACTCCGTTTCTATCCATCCACAAGAAATCCAGTAAGTCACTCGGCGTAGTCAACCGTACCGACTTATATATATAAGGGGGATTGTAGTTT